TAATATACTTAATTCTTAATCGTTGAATATATGTATTCAGTTATCTATTATAAAAGGTTATAAACTAATTCTTTACATAATTACAAAAATATCATTAATTTCAAACCTATACTTTTACTATTACAAATTACTCATACACACTATTAACATTCCAGATGTAGTATATAGATAACAACATAGGAACATACACATTAATAACATTCTAGACCTATCGATCACTCTACGGTGTGGAGGTTTCAAGAAATTCCTCTCAACTAGTATGGACGTAAGTTCAGCCAGGAGCTTAACACTAATATAATAATTAAGATTCTGCTTACGCCTCGGTTGGGATTTGGTTACAGAATCTTAACCCTCGACTGATATAACCCGATCTCGCTCAGATACAGATAAAAAAAATAGTCTCACCCTAGGATGGAGAAAGGGGATTCCCTTAATCATAACAATTGTATGACGTCACGTCAGCAATACAATGACGTCACGTCAACCTACGTGTAATCTTTTATACGCATATATGGGAGAAAAACATAATTTATAAGATTTGTACAGTTATTTCCTATTGGCACATTCTTTGTACTGTGATATATGAACTGTTCATTCAGTATGGCACTTTTTAAAAGGTGCCGCGGTGGCCGAGTGGTAAAGGTAGATTTACAGTTTTTTTACTCCAGACACTCCGTATTTTCATCCTCCACCATAACCTGGCAGATACGTTAAAGACTATAAAATGTAGCTGTTGACAGGACGTAAAACACAAACAAAAAAAAACATTCCTTCTAAAAAACAATCTCCAGTCATTATTTTAGTCAGACTCATTTCCTGTCTATATTTCGGATGCTTTTGGAGATTTATGTAAATATTGCCACAGAAACTATATTGATTGAACAGCTTTCCAGCAGTCTTTTACGATTGAAAGCGTTGTATCATTATTTGTTGGGTGTCCTATATTGACCTAGACCCCCGCTGCGGATGCATATGTTTGACGTAGCTGGCATGTGAAAAGGAGCATTATCAGAAAAAGGCAAACGTGCTAAGTTGAAATATTCCATATTTTCCTTCACAAATGTTCTTCTGGGCCTTTTTAGATGTAAATCAGACATGTTCAATTCAGGACCTAGTACTGTTTTGGTGAGGTTTATACCCCATCATCTTTAAAACCGTATATTACTTTCTGTGCGATTTGGTCACGTTTTGTTTGATAATTATTAAAAAGGTATTGTGCAAGTTACGTATCATGGAAGGTGCTAAAGCATGTGACGTAATCTTGGTAAGATAAATATTAGCCCTGCCATAAAAAGTGTTGCCCATATCCGTGTCCCGTCGCGTCTCGTCAACAAATTTCTATAGATGAGACTTTTTTCTACACTAGTGAACTGATGTATTTAAATGCCGACTTATAGTGTATTGAACAAAATAAACCTCAGACTCTTATGTAGGTGTCGTGAGTCCAAGTTCAGTGGCAATGTAAATGGTGGTCTCCATGTACATAGTCGATGGGTATTGAGAACAAGCAGGCTGTTTAAGTAAGCCTCTTTGTAATGTAGCAGAAAACATAAAAAAGACGAACAGTTTGTAAGCACAAAGTACTGAACATTTATTTGATAAAATTTATTTAAAAAAGAAGAAGAAAAGAAAAAGACCACATATTTCTATCTGGTTTGGTAATTATTAAACATCTCACAGATTACAAATTGGGTAGAAGAGCTACATATAAAACAATTATGAGAACAATGAAATAATTAAAATAGTGTTACAGGTAATAATGGGTTATGACGCCTGTCAGACCTAAAGGGACTTTCATAAAAACGAAAATGGAGCCAAACCATTTTTAGGTCGAAAAATGTCGTATTTTTAACACAAGCATCTAACGAATTGAAAGTGAAACGTCGTTAAATAAATAACTGTTCACTATCTATTTGACTTTTGTAACAAAATATTTGGAAAGAAAGGTGAGGCTCATGTACTTTCATCCGTAGTGTTTGACATATACGTAGAATTCTGTATTTGCGGAAGTTTCTTAATTTCCCTTTAAGAAAGACAAACGATTTAATATATCATATAAATGAAAAGTATAAAAACAGTTCTGTAACAACACCGACGTATTAATCACTTCAGAAAGGGAAAGGATACACTTAAACGATACACAATAAAATAAACAGATTTATATTACATCTAGCATTATTGATATACTGCAAAAAATGATCAAATTATAAAAAAAAAACATTCCGGGCGTCACAGTGTGTTATTACAAATTCTTTAAGAACTATTAGAAACTCAAGCATTCTCTGTCATTGTTTAATATATTGTACTTAACACAGCTCTAATGAGGTTATATATGAAAAGAATAATCAAGGTACCGTTTTTTTATGGTGAAAAATATCACTTAAATATGAAAAAGATTAAGAATTCCAAACACCCCTTAGTTTTTTCTGACAGCATTACCTCCTGTTACAGTATAGTTATAAGGACTTTTCCTTCTATCAAAGAAAATATTTCAAATTTAGGTTTCAGAAAAAAAGTTAAGGAAATCGTTAAAACTTCTGTTTATAAAGACCTCAACATTCTTCTTTGGTTTGATTGATGTATCTGTTGAAGGTTAAGTTGTTTGGTATCGTCCGTACGCTATAAATAAGCGTTTGATCAATCCTTGTTATCATGAACATCTTCTAAAGCTCGTTATATGTGTTATTAGGCAAGAAGTTGTACACAAAGGAAAGAGAGAAAATCGTTTAGTTGATCAATGTTATAATTATGTTATAATTATGAATGTTATGTGTAAGTCTTTCTGATGGTATCTTTGGAGTCTAAAATCCCGTCAATCGAAAGGTAGGCTGATGCAAATAGCTGTTGTCCATTTTCAAGCAAAGATCAATGTCCTTTTTCGGAAAACAATCACATCCTTGACTGCTGTAAAAAAATAGTTAATGATAATAATCACACATTGTGACGGTTATCCCATCGAAATTGGAATATTATTTAAATAATCATAATGGTATTACAACCTCCAGAAGTATGTATTCCTTGATTTTCTATGATTTGAAAAATAATAATTATGAAATAAAAAATACTCGAAAATAAAGTGCTACTAGCTCTAGCTGCCCGAAAAACTCTAGAATGTTTCATAACATTTGCCGATGTGTGCACTCTATTGTACGGGATAAGTAATAGTACGGTTTTTAGTCTTGATTTGTTGTATTGTAGCGCGGATATTTCTTAGAAAAGTAAAATGTATGCGGTTTTATGCACTTGCAAGCCCAATAACTATTATAAAAGTTTATATGAATGTTCAAAAATAAACTTGTATTCTGACAGTCGTCAGATCTTAAACGCTGTTGCTTGATTTCAATGTCTTTTGTGTTTGAAGTAGCTTCATAATATAATGACGCCAACGTATTTTGAACAAATGAACATTGCGTTTTAAATGAAATAATGCAAGTCCACAACCTATATGAAATCATTTGCAATAAAATATTTACAACATTAGTATTAGTCTGGCTACCAGCCCGAAAGGTTTTATGAAAATTAATTTCAACTGCATTGTATAACTAGCTTGGCTACCCCTAGTTTGAAAACTAGATTCGTATACCTAAGTGATCATAATTAATAGAATTATTTTTTTCTTAATAATTCAATATCTTTATACAAATCTAGAGACGGTGGCCAGTCTACATTAAATATAAACTTTAGTTATTTCATACGAAATGGGAAACACGCTATAGAACATCAGGTTGAAAGCATTTTGAAGATAATAAGAAGAAATATGGTATTTGTTTAATAATTGTATATAACGTAACCCTGTGCCATATAGACATAGGTATATATTTATATAGATATAGATATATAGCTAACTTTCCGCCACACGTTCTTGCTGCTGCAAATGAGAAACAAGTAGAAAGTGTAGTGTGTTTGTATGAAATTATGCAAGTCCTCGTCCTATTTGAAATTATTTGTAGCAACTTTGTTATTTAACTCCGACCGATGAGAAAACTGTGTTTTTTCAACTGGTCTTAACGACTCTTGTTGGTCCGGATTGAAGAGTCGAGACGGTTTAAATGTGGGCGGAAACCAGGATACCAGGAGAAAACCCACGTTGTCATCAATACATTGGGTGGTAGGGTGGCCCATTGGATAGCTAACTCGCCTTACACGAAGATGGCTGGGATTCGATTTTCCGATCGGTTGTGAAAATGTATAGGATCACCTGCCCGGTGACATTGGTTTTCTCTGGTTACTTCGGTTTCCACCCACATTTACACCCCCTGAACGCTAACATCTTCGCAAGCAAGAGTGACTTATATAATATGATATAAATTGTTTCCTAACAGTTTTAAAATAAAGTCTATATATATATTTTATATGTTTTCACGTTTTTACGGGTAAGGGGCCGCGGTGGCCAATTGGTGGAAGCGTCTGACCGTCTTTGATCGCAAGCACTCTACCACCGGGTCGCAGGTTCGAGGACTACGTGGGGCCGTTGACAATTTTTGGCCGCATAATTTATTTTCTGTGGGAACTCCGGCTTTCCGCCACCACCAAAACCCATAATACATCGATGCATTGGCGTTGGTTTTTGTTCGTGGCCGTTGCTACAGTAATGTGGTTCAATGTTCTTAGTTACCGTTAATCGTTTATTCGCCAGTGCGTTCTCCAGTTGTTGAATCTGTGAATAAAACATACAATAATTTATACAAAATGTCCTTACATGACCATAGCTGTTAATAGCACATCAAGCCTAAACACACCAAACCAAACAACAAAGGAAGTCAAAACCCGGTTGTCTTTGTGGAGGCGTGTGCGCTTTCCAAAGCGCCACT